GGGGGGATATAAACTTATTTGAGAGGGATAGCCATTCATGTTGAAGAGGAAGCACCAGAAGAAGAGGGAGGTGGAAGACAACCAGAAAAAAAAGCCACTTCCCACTAAAAGTTTCCCATCCGGAACCTAGGATGGATTCCAGGATTTGGAAGTTCCCTCATTTGTGTGCTTTTTGTCTGTGAAACCCCTGACAAAACATTCTTCTTATTTAGTCCTAGCTGATGTTTCTGCTCTTTTGCTTTTACAGCTTACATGGCTGAAATCTATGAAATAGTTAGCAAGCAGTTTGTGTAAAGAGTGATTTGAGAATAATCATCTTACAAGAGTATAGCTTCATTTCCATCCCATTTATTTTTTAAACAGACATTAATAGGATCACAGTAGCAGATAGGTGGATCCTCTTTTAATAGATTAGTTTACAGGTTAATCAAAGATTATGCTTATGCTATAAAATACATTATTACAGAAGAATATGGCTCTTGAATATGCTGAATCAGTGTAACTGCTCTAAGTCACAGACAAATAGTAAGTGTAAACAAAATAACTAACAGTTCCAGAAGCAGTAGCAGTTGTCACAACGGGATCTACTCAGCTATTCGTATCTGTGCTTGCGGAAAATAAGCTTGCTGCTTCTGTTCTTCAGCTGTGGTATTCAATCAGTATTTGCCTGGCAATTACATTATCTGACAGAAAAAATAATCAGAATATATTTCCTTTTTTTTTGTTTTTTAGTCTTATTAACCATTAAAAATGCTTATATCAGTGGAAACAGAATGAAACCATGATGAACAAAGAGATAGCCAATAGCTATCTCTTTGTTAGAAAGAAAGGTCCAGCTTTTCTGACTAATTCAGGCTGTGAATACTTTTTCAGGGTTCACAGAATTAACAGCTCTTTAAATGACTACATTTCGCAGTTTTGGACATTTCTTGTAAAACAGAGTAGATTAATTTTTAAACTGAAGTTTGATGAAAATGACCCACTTTGTATATTTATTTGAGCAATTTTAACTTCCAAGAGGTTCTGCTAACCTGTGCCAGTATTGCTTGAAATATGCCTGGAGATTCTAGTCGTTCTCTTTGGAAATGCTGGTTTTGAGAAATAAAACGAGGATGGGGTTGGGGATGAAACACATGAATCACTAAAATAGGGTTGACACAGATTGTCCTTTAGAAATAATATTTTTCTTAGTATGAGTCCTTTCATGTTGAAGGATAAACTGTCCTTTAGAAGTCATGTCTACAACAGAAAGCAATTGTGAGCTAGTTTAAACTGTGGACAATGTTACACACCACATTATCTGTTGTAAAAGGACAGGCAAGTGCTGACAGTCAGCGTATCAAGGACAGGGGTAGCTAGGGAAAAATGTTTACAGGGTTGGAAGGAGTGACTTGAAGCAGGGAACATAATCTGGCCTCTAGGTCAGATGACATAGACTAAATAAAGCTCTTTCAGACTTGGTGTATGTTGTCTCATTGTCCAGTTGGAGACCAGTAACGAGTGGTGTCCCTCAGGGATCAGTGTTGGGACCGGTCTTGTTCAACATCTTTGTCGCTGACATGGACAGTGGGATTGAGTGCGCCCTCAGCAAGTTTGCCGATGACACCGAGCTGTGTGGTTCGGTTGATACCCTGGAGGGAAGGAATGCCATCCAGAGGGACCTCGACACGCTTGTGAGGTGGGCTGATGCCAACCTCATGAAGTTTAACCATGCCAAGTGAAGGTCCTACACCTGGGTCGGAGCAATCCCAGGCACAGCTACAGGTTGGGCAGAGAAGAGATTCAGAGCAGCCCTGCGGAGAAGGACTTGGGGGTGTTGGTCGATGAGAAAATGAACATGAGCCGGCTTCAGTGTGCACTCGCAGCCCAGAAAGCAACCGTATCCTGGGCTGCATCAAAAGGAGCGTGACCAGCAGGTCGAAGGGGGTGATCCTGCCCCTCTACTCTGCTCTTGTGAGACCTCACTTGGAGCATTGTGTGCAGTTCTGGTGTCCTCAGCATAAAAAGGACATGGAACTGTTGGGACAAGTCCAGGAGCCACGAGGATGATCAGGGGACTGGAACTAGCAGCCTTCCAGTATCTGAAGGGGACCTATGAGGATGCTGGGAATGGACTCTTCATTAGGGACTGTAGTGGCAGGACAAGGGGTAACAGGTTAAAACTTACACAGGGGAAGTTTAGATTGGATATAAGGAAGTTCTTTACTTTGAGGGTTGTGAGGCACTGGAATGGGTTGCCCAGGGAAGCTGTGAATGCTCCATCCCTCATGGTGTTCAAGGCCAGGTTGGACAGAGCCTTGGGTGCCCTGCTTTAGTGTGAGGTGTCCCTGCCCATGGCAGGGGGGTTGGAACTGGATGATCTTAAGGTCCTTTCCAACCCTAACTATTCTATGATTCTATGATTTTTGGGGGTTTCTTTTGAAGAGTACTTTCAATCTTGTCATGAGTATTATACAGAAAACCTTCTCCCAACTGGAAAAATAGTTTTCAGCTATTATTTTGTGTAATATAGGTATGTAAAATGTATATATGTAATATATTATACAATATAAAATACCTTGCATTCTGAACTATATTTTAAAACCCCCAATATAACAATTTTAATAATTTTAGACAGAATGCAATCTTTCCTGGGTTTGGGTAACACAGATATGTCAATGTGATACAGTTCTACTTTAACAATCAACAAGAATCAAGCTCTTTTCAGTATTTTTCTTTTGGGAAAACAAGGATAAAAGTTCCACCTAGGTTAATTTGAAGGCTATGAGTCATTCACTAAAGTTGTTTATTTTTATATAGTTTGTTCTTAAAGTTTAATAGCTAAGATGAAAGAGCAATAGCAAAATGTAGGATACTTCTTAGTGATCAGTCAGTATTTATGTCTCTCAGATGGCGTATGTTAAGAGATAAAATTGTAATTTGATTTTTCCAAAAATAGACATAGCTTAACAGGCAGCTCAAAACTTAATGAAGAATTATGTGATGAATTCTAGTTAAAAATTTAGCACTATGTTCTGTTTTGGTCTTAAAAATCTTAGTCTGTTGGTTTAAGTGAGGAACGAATCTTGTCAAAACAAGTAGGGTGTTAAAATTGTGATATTAAATTTGATATTAAAAGTGTGGTTGGAAATGTGTTACTGAAGTTTACTATGTGCTAAAATAACAGACTTCTGTGATGGCTGCAGCAGTGTTGTGTAACATTCCGGCTAAAATTTCACTATGGAAATCCAGTGTTACACGTGCTAGATGGATTTAAATGTTTAGATTTTTCAATGGAGATTCAACGTCCCATTCTCAATGAGAACCTTCAGGTTTTTTCATGATCTAGTGCTCCTGTTTATGTCTTTTAGTTGGGAAAGAGAATGAGATGTGTGTCAGTAACAGTTGAAGGTAGTACAGAGCCAGTAGAATAGCAAACTGAAATTTAATCCAACTGTATAGAAGGAAATACTGGAAGACTCAACAGAAACTTCTTTCTTCCAACTAATCACATTTTATGAATGTGATTTCAAGACTTTCAAGGTCTAATTTGGATATCCTTATTTTTCACGAAAAGCTCATAAAGCAGTCTCATTTATGAGAAGAAGTAGTCACGGTGAGTAAAATCTAAAATGGAGTTTTCTATGCAGCAGAGTTAAGCAACCTGATGAGTTTTAGGCAGTTCTAGTTTTGAACTTTTACGATTTAAGTAAAATTCGAACTTGTTGAAATTGAACTAGCTTGCCTTAAAGTAGAAGTCACATTTTCTCATGACAAAAAAATCAAACCAGATCCAGCTAGAGCAGGTTACTCAGGGCCTCATCTAGTCAAGCTTTTATTATCTCACAGGTAGAGATTGCACATCCTTCCACTCTGTTCCAGTGGTTTATTATCCTCACAGTAAAATTAAAACCAAACCAAACCAACTTCTTCTTTAATTGAGTTCCAACTTGCCCCTTGCTTCTCATCCTCCCACTGTGCGCTCTGAAGAAGAGTTTGGCTGTATCTTCTCTTTACCCTTCCAGTTTAGGTACTTGTAGAGAGCAGCATAATCTTGCCGTTGTAGTATTTTACCTTTTTTGACGGGGGGGGGGGGGGGGTAAGATTGGTGAGGTGGGGAGTGTTTGTGTAAACAGCTACCCTGAAGATCTTCATTAGTGTTCAGGAATCTTGAAATTGATTAGTCTGAACAAAATGTTCTTTCTTATTGCTGGGGGCTCTAAACTTCCAGTTTGATAGCACAAGGTGATGCAGAATTATTGAAAGAATAATAAATCAACAGTACAGTGTACCAATTAGATTAATTAGATTTCAAAATTTGATGGATAACCATACTAGGGAGAGATGCGAAGCTATGACCTTATTCGTGAGAGGCAAGCGTACAAGGAATTGAGTCTCACTGACATTTAAAGTTCTCTGTGTGTGTGTGTGTGTACAGCCGGATAGATACCTACTTCGGTTGTCTCTCTTTATCTTGTTCATTGCCTCCTTGAAGCACAATTATTGCTGGACTAATTGCAAAGCTCCTGTTAGTTCACCAAGTTCATTTTTCTCCATAAATCGGCAATATGAGCCCTGGCTCATGCATTTTCTGAGTTAGACTGTGGTTTCATTTTCATTGAATCAGTAACTCTCTGAAGATGGGGCATTTAAGTTTAAAGGCAATTCCTGTTTGTGTTTTCAGTTTTTGATACTACTTTTATGTCTCTTGTAATGAAAAGAGGTCATGTTAAATATTTCAAATGCTGAATATGCACAAGCTTTTATACTGATGCCGAGTGTTGAGTTCTGCCAAAAAAACCTTTGCTTGGAATTTGAAAAAGTATTAAGTAAGAAAACTGTGCTGTTTATAATGGGTCTTGATACATATTTGTTAAACTTAAATTCGCAAATGTTAATTGACCATGGTCCATAATGTTATGGTCCTTAAACTGGAAAAAATACGCTGTTCTAATTATTATGCAAACATCATTTCTTTATTTCCTGCAAATATTAATTATGTCTCTTGCTCTTTTTTCCAGGGAATGTATATCAAATCAACATATGATGGGCTACATGTAATCACAGGAACAACTGAAAACGTAAGCTTAAAGACTCTTATCATACATACAAGTATTTTCTGTATATATGCAGTGAATTTTGTAATATGAAATCTTACTTTTAATTAAGCCACTTTTATTAATACTTTTTATCTTTGCTCTACATCTGTCATATTGCCTTTTTAAAAACTTGGGACCCTTGAAAATAAGCATAGAAAAATATCTGTGGTGAAGTGACTAATAACTAACAACATAGTAAAATGAAAATCTTGAACTTCTGTTCTAAATGGCTTTTCAGAGACTCCTTTCCAATAGTGTTCATGGTGATGCTCTCTCTGGCACAAAATTGTTGTCCTATATATTAAGTAAATTTTTCTAATGTAAGAACATCATCACTAGTCTAAAATAATACTTGTATATCAGAGTTGCTGATGAGTGAAGCTGTCCTCTGAGCATCCTTTAGTATGTGCAGTCAGCTTACTTTATGCAGTGAGTAAATGTTGTCACACAATAATGAATACATGTTTGCTAAGAGTTCTTTGTGTTTTTTTTTTCTCAGAATGAACTGTAATTTTATTGTGTGATTTTTCTTTCTAATTACCAAATTAATTTAGAAAGAATGTTAGAGTAATCAGACTTTTGGAGATGATGCCTTTCCTGGAACTGACTCATAGAAAATGAGTAGCTTCTGTATGTATAAGTGATGCAATAAAATAGATTGTAAAATAATAAGTTTTAAAACAGTTACATTATCATCAGCTTGGGTGGATGAAAAACACAGGTAATGGAGAAAGATAATGAAAAATACTGTATTTGATATCAGGCAGGTTATAGAATAATCTTCGATAAAGCAGAGAGTTTTCCAGTCTAGCAGTAATTACTGACAGAACTATCTCTAAGAGGGCAGAAATTGTGGAAAGAAGCAAACAGGTTTTGGTGCATGAGTGGAATGAGATGGATGATTTGACAATGCTAAGAAAACATTAGTTGACAACCCTGTTGTGTGAACATGTATGAAAAAGTTCTTTTATGAAAATAATCATTCATTATTCAGTGTAAGAAAGATTTGTATTAGGATAACTTAAGCACCATTGTATTTTCATATTTTCCATCATGTGTAGTAGAAATACAGAAGAGACCAAGAAAAATGTATTAATTATCATTTTCATTGTAGTCCCAGAAGTGTTAGCCAAAGCACACAGAAATGCTGGTGCGCATGAATCAGTATGACTGATTACAGGAAACTAAACAGTGTGACAAGAATAACAAAGGAGCTTCTAAATATCCTCCTTGTTACTTAACTTGCAATGCATAATTAGAAATTAAAAAAAAAAAAAAAATCAAATCTCCTTCAACTGCTGCAACCTAATTACCATCACAGCTTTCATAATAGGACCCATCCCTTCTGGTTTTGATATGGTCCTTTAGTCACACTTCACATTCAGTCTTGGATCTGTTAAACAGCACATAGCTGGATAAACGACAAGTTTAGATTTTATAAAGTGAATGTTGAAGTTATGTAATGCTGACACCCAGGGAATATAAAATTAGCACTATGCAGCTAACCAAAGCTGTAAATGCTTGCTGTGGTATGCTGGCCCATATGGGTAAGCTTCAACTGCGATATTTCGTTCTACGTGATTTATATCTATTGGGTAGTATTACAGCACACAGTTCTTGTCACTCAGTGCGAACCCATGGAAAGGCTGATGATTTGTGTGTCACAATTTGTGAAGACAGGTCTAATGCAAATTAAACTTCCAATTCGTTAGCTTGTTTATATTAATGTCATTGGCGGCAGTTAGAACTATTAAAAGAACTGTATGCGTACCTTGGGTCCTGAACCTTATGAATGATCCCTCTTGATTATGTTGCAGCAGGTTATGTTCATAGATTGGATTACTCGTTCTCTAATTAATACACTTTTTTACTGTAATTCTAATTCATTTGAGAAATATAATGCAGTTGTAGGGAAAATATTTATATACTTATAACTGAAATTCACAGGAGGAATTACTACGCTGCCAGTCACTATAATTTTTATTTTGAGTAAACTTTAGATGTCAAAACTTTTGGTAAGACACCCCCATAAGAAGCTGCTTTTTTGTTTTTTGCTAAAAGTATAATCACACATGAGATAAAGCAGCTTCAAAGACATGTAATTTCTGGTGTTTCAGCAAATTGATTTTTCGTTCCTTTTGAACGGATAATTGACCTCAGAGCCAGTGTTTACTTTTAATTTTCATAGATAACAAGTAGCTCATCCTCATCAAAGTCAGGAAAGCAGCTAAAAAGAGAAAGAACCAGGCCTCTGCTTGCTTTTCCAGCAAACATCAACTGAAGTTAAATATTCTAAATCATGGTACTTCAGTTTCCTGCTTACCTTTCATTCACTGCTTAGAGCAATCAAGTTTGCATTTACATTGAATGCCAGAAATATCTATCTGTTACATGTCTAGTCCTGTGCAAAACAGCAGTCTGCCAAAATTCTGCAAGCTTCCACTGAAAGGAGAAAGTGACATTGGAATCAGGTAGCTCTTTACACCATCACATTAAATACATAGGTAAAATACTGTTTAATTTAATGCAGAAAGACTCAGATGGCTGGAGTTGAGATGTGGATGCCATGACCATGTAGTTTAGCTCAAGGGCTGGACTCCCCAAGACAGGAGATTTAAGAAGCCCTCATGAAAGTTCAAGCAATGATCAAGCAGGTGAGGGGTTGGAACATGGCTTGTGTTGGGGAGTCTGGCCAGAGCATGGTTAGGAATGATAAGCAAGCAGTAGGCTGAAGGTAAAAGCTGGGCTTGGAATCACTATGTCAAATATTGGCTATTTGCCCTGTTGGCTTGTTTTTTCTTACTGATTGAATAATTAATGATGTTTCCTACCACTCTCCAGCAGCTGTGTAGGCTGCAGAATCTATTGATTAGTCAGCAGGTGCTGACGATGGGAGAGATTTGACATCCTCATAGATGAGTCTCTTTGGCATTTTATTCAGATGTAATTGCAGTAATTTTTTTCCCAGTGGCGATTTAGGGGATTTTAATATTGTTTCCTCTTGCCTTGTTCCTTTTATTTGTTTATCTTATATTTTTAATCTCCATCCACAAAAGGGATGGAAATGATGGGTGGAAATGATGGGTGGAATTTTTGGTTGATGAAGACTGTCCAGCTGGAGAGCTCTTGCCTGTTTCCTGGAAGTCTTTATCGGTACACAGTGAGCTCATGTGTATGAGCTTCTACAAATCACTTTGAGTTCAGATAAATCTTTTCTTCCTCTGCATTTGACACCTGGCTCTTGTGCTGTGAGCAATTTATATATATGGGCTGTCTCTAAAAGAGATCCAGAAACTGAACTAAGTTTTGGTAATGTAACTCCTTTTCTGTGAGGAAATTCTTCAGCAGTATTAGAGCCACTCCACTTTCTGTAGCTGCAAGTGGCTCTTTTCTTGCCTTTGTTAGGAGTCTGCTTACTTAGGGAACTTTAACTGTCAATCCAAGAGTATTTTGCTTTCAATGTTTCTGCATTGTTTAAGATGGGACAGTTTGTCCTCTCCTCTCTCTGACTCTGTATCTAACAAGTAGAGTAAATATTCAAGCTTGTCTAATCTCCTAACTGATCTACTTACTTAATAGCTAACTTCCACAGTGATTTACTTCTCAAGGTGATGTCTCAGCTCTTCAAGTATTTCTTGTTTTTTTCTCTTAAATTTCAAGTTCTGTCAGTAGCATGCTCTTGTAAGCTAGTGTCCAATGCAAGTAAGTTGCCTTGAATTCTCAAGTCTCTCCTTCTGGGTATGACTGCTGATCTCCTGCATGCCTTACAGATTTGTCTTAGAGATACTTGTACTCCCCACAGAGAGGTAAAGAAGCTAGAATAATTCAACCAGTCAAAAAGGCTGTTCACCACCCATGGAAATGGGATTCTAGATTACTTCATCAAATTGCCATCTGTAACCAATAAAAACATAGTTACTTATAAATATGGGTAATTATTGCTATTTGATAGCAATAATACTTCTTTGGGCACAGCTTTTTTGCCTCCATTGACATCCTTTGTTTTAATTCCTGCTCTTCCCTTCCCCCTCCATGCCACCCATGTAAAGTCAACTGTTGTCTCTTGTCCTTAGTCTCCTGCTGACCAGTGTAAGAAGATCCATGCTGGTGATGAGGTGATCCAGGTCAACCATCAAACTGTGGTAAGTGTTTTGGAAATTCTGTTCTGCAGCCTTTGCCCACTCCCACTGCTAAAAAAGTCATAATTCTTCTTAGAAGGTAACTTTGCTAAACTATATTATTGTTTGTGTCTCTTAAAATACCATAACCAATACTTATGCTTCATAAGAAAAGGCACAAGTTGAGTCAGTAACCAGCAGGATTAAGCCAAATTTTTATTTTGAGCAGTTGCTGTTCAACATTATTCTCTTACATGAGGAGATCCCAGAATATTTCATTGAAACTCTTAGACTTCTCATTACAGATGTGCCAGCTAGTTTAAGTTCTCTTAAACATGATTTTAGATTCTCTTTAATACAGAATTTGGATTAAAAATGCAGAACTGCTGTAACAGACATATATTGTGAATCTTTTGGGGAAAAAACATAAAGACAATTGAAGTGTTGATAGAAATTTTGTCAGGATTTTGCTTTTGTGCATTCTTGTTTGCTGATTCATTTTTAGGCAGATGAACTGTTAGCAAAACTATTAATCTGTTTAAAATCACATAAGTGTGTACGAGAAGTATATGCTGAACTTCAGGTATTGCTGTACATGGTTTGCCTACATTTAAATGTGCCTGCCATTTCATTTCTTTCACAGCTGTGTGCTGTATGCACACAAAACTACATTTCATGTTATGTGGAAATACAGGAATATGTTTCTGCAGCATCCATAGAATTTTATTCTGACTTAAAACACGTGACTTCACTGAAGAATTAATAATTTCATTTTAAGATTAAATCATTTGTAATTGAGCTCTAAAAGCCTATCACAGCCTCATCCAAGGTTGCGTGATTCTTTTTTCTTCCTATTTTTTGATGACATAAACTGCTGCCTTATATATCATGTTAGTTAGAAATCTGGTCATTACTAAAGGGAATGCAGTCACATTTTGTCCCAGTATTATCTTATTTCATGAGGAACTGTCTTTTTTTAAAAAATGAAATTGTATGTTGCAGAAAAATGGAAGCATTGTTGATGGGACTACAGGTGAAAGGAACACTTGTATTTATTACTTATTAGGCATGAGTACCATTTCAACAATGATAACTTCCTAAAGTGCTTACAATGTGGACATTTAACTTTGTCTTGCTGAACCCCGTCTCCAAACACAGCAGCAGCAAAATTAAGAAATCTTCCTCTGTCTGTCATTTGTGGGAGGTGGAAATATGAAAGTCTAAACTATTAAAATCTTATGATTAGAGAGCAAATATTTTCTCTTTAAAAGAAATATAACTTATTCATTTACACTTTAAATATTCATCCAATGGGCAGCTCTTAACTATATTAGAGAGGTTCTACGAGTTGTCATAGTTACAAGTTGAAATATGCATTAGACTGGTTTTCTCCATCAAACATACTCTTCAAGTGACAGGCCTGGTTTAATCTTTACTCCCAGAAGTGAAATCCCCTTATTCAACTACTCAAGAATTGGCTTTCTGGGTATGAACTCTTTCTCTGTGTGTTGTTACAACAGGCCCAAGGTGCATGATACTTGTTATCCCTTTCCAATGGAGGGCATGGTACCAACAGCTGAGCCAAGTGGCAAAAAGTACCTCTTTCTGAAAAAAAAACCTACTATGAAATATTCATTCTGAAGTTTATAACAAGCAAAGAGATAAATGACAAGCTGTTTCTTTCAGAAATTTATTCTTCTTTTGAAATGCCTGGGAAAATATCACTCTTGTCTTCACTGTGACTTTGGAAAATCAGACAGTAATAGCGTTTGGATGTTGTGATGATCAATATCTTGCTTATAATTGCCATTATTTCCATTAGTGCGCTAGAATAGTTCAAAGGCAACAGCTCATTAAGTTTCCATGTAATTAATATTTTAATACTAGCAAGACCAGCTCATGAGGTGTAACCCACTGCTTTCATTTTCCCTTCAACTTGTTCTGGGGCTGAAAAAAGTGCAGTGTTTTTTTTCTCTGCTGTGTAATTCTGTTGAATTGATTTCATATGAAGCTTTTAGCATTGCCCTGTGAAGGGACAGTTTTTTACATTTAGTATCCCAAATACTTCTTGGGTTGACAAAAATTTTCAAGATAGTTAAAGTATGATTTACAGTATATGTATCTGGTGAAATCCATGGTCTCCAGTCTCGTATTAGTTTTCCACAGAGACTCTACTTAAAGCATTAAAAATCTAGGTGACAAAAATATAGGTCTTAGTGTAATCTCTTATTCCTACTTTTACCTGTTTATTGGTAAGGGAGGATCCATGCTTTCATAAAATTTATACACAGGTTAAACTATATGATGTAAAGATGCAGAAATACATTTTGTGCAGATACTTGTATGCTTCAGAGACTCTGCATCCAACAGATTTTATCTTTGTTGTTTTATCAGAGACATTTTCTTAAGGTTGAAGTTTCTGTAGCTCTTTGGTAGTCCATCAAATACAAATCCCATTCAACACAACGTGATTTGAAAGAATCTGTTCTGAAGGTGATTAGATATAGTCATTTTGTATTGCCACTGTTGAAAATACTTTACTGATAAGAGAAAGTATGCATCTCTTTTAATAGATTCCAATCCTATAACTGAATACTGGTATCATTTAATCTGATTTTACTGAACTAGCCCAAAGTATTTTCTAGATGAATTCATATTTGCTCATTTAATGAGATCATTTGAGCTTTAAAACTTCTATTGATGTTCCTACAACTTGTAATAAATTGTCACCGTCGTTAATTATTCTCATTTCTGGGGAAAAATAAAAAAGCCATTTTAATTGTAGTCTACATTTGTCTGGCACAAGCTTCCAGTGTGTATTTTTATCCATTAGACTGGAGAGTGGGTTTCTCATTTAGGTATTTTCAGGATTCAATCAAATTACCTCTTCACACTTTTTTGGTGAGCTAGGTAATTTGAGCACTTCTAGTTTGTCATCCTAATGCATGACCTTCCTCAACAACCTCTTTAAATTCCCAACTGTAATACTTTGCATATTTAGCACAGAGTTACAGAACTCTCCAGTGAAAGCATTCATTCATGGTTAGGGTGGTACTCCTGTGCTAAAATAGTACCAGTGAAACTACATTAATGTAGCCATTACCAACTAGCTGTTTATTCTTCCTTACAGGTTTGTGTTCGTTTTTCATTTATACATGGGCAAAAATGAAACTGAGACCACTTTTACTTGGTTTTTTTTTTTTCCTTTAAAACCAAAACTTGTAATTCCAGTTTGAACTCTTTCCATTAGGAAGCCCATTTTAACAGAAGAATCTGTGAGAGGACTAAGCTCTTAAACAGGTTTAAGAAGATGTAACTTGGAAATAGTTGTACTGTCCCTGCATTTGAGCGGAGTCAGCACAGATAACAGCATTTCTAATCCTGGAAGCACTTCTCTGGGGCTGCATGGCTATAGCAGAGGATTAAGTGTGCTGACAGTGTCAGTCCCATTGAATTGCTGGATGTATGGAGTGAAGCATTTTGGAATTTATGTGATGAGAACAACTTAGCTGTATGTTTTCCAGATTATTACCTCCAATTAATATAATCATAGAATCATAGATTAATTAGGGTTGGAAAGGACCTTAAGATCATCTAGTTCCAACTCCCACCTCACACTAAACCATGTCACCCAAGGCTCTGTCGAACCTGGCCTTGAACACCGCCAGGGATGGAGCATTCACAACTTCCACTTTCTTTAAAGCATTATTTGTATTGAGTGAGAAATATCAGATAGCCAGGAGGTAGCTATATTCATTTTTTTTTCTGAAACCATGTATATTAACAAATATATTAAAAATATTAACAAACTAAGACCACTTGTTTTTCAAATAACTTTTCAATGTAGTTGAGAGTTAGAAAAAAATAAGGAAAAGAGTTCAGAATGTATCAAAGGAAAGCAGCTTACGAATTATACAATGCAACCATTGCAAGAGTTAGAGATAAAAGACTTAAAATGTGGAATCTGGTCTGACCAAGAAACACTTTGTAATACAATTAAAAAGATCAAAGAAAAAAATAATAGTACTTTAAGCAAGAAATTAATTAAATCAAGCGATTCACCACTGGCTGTTAAGATCATTTAATCATGATCCAATTTCCTTATTTGCTTTTCTGCTTCTTGTTCTTGCTTATTAGATTTTAGTAAAACAGCATAAGAAACTTTAAAAATAAGTTATACATTCCAAATTACTGCCATACTATTTTCTCCCTACAGTAACAACAGGCAGTAGTTCTGCCTTTTGTAGATTTTTACTTTCTCTCTCATAAAATTATAAAAAAGTGCTGAAGATGCCACTGTACGTTTCTTTGCAAAATTAATAATGACACTTTAGGTTCTGTGGATGCTATATTTTCTGCTGCTTAGCTGAAATAGTGAATTTCATAGTTTTTTTAAGATAAATTTATACACAGAACATAACTCTTTAATCAGAGAATTGAGACTGTAATGCAGTTAAAATAGTTTAAAATTAAAGCTAAGGTAGTCACTAGCCAAGAAACACTTGTTTCAATTTTCCATAACATGGATAGTGTTGAGCATAGAACAAAGAGAAGAAAACCAGTCATAACAAATGTATAGGCATATGCATACTCAAAATGTAAGCAAAGTTGGATAACTTAATCCAAAATCATCCACATCTCAGTTTATTGAAGATACTGAAGCTTTATATTGCAAGTCCCTAAGCACAGATTTTTTTAATGAATAGTCTGCTTTAGGATAATATTGTATGCTGGGGAAATTTAATAAGGCAACACTTGCTAGTCAATACTTTGCAAGATTTTTAGGTAGCTTAGAGAGGAAAGGATAACTAATGACATGAAGGAAAATGCATGTGAAGTGAAATGCAGCATCAATTCATGAAAATTAAATAGTGCTAATGTTCCACCTTTGACAGTTTTTCAGACATAAGAAATATTGCAGATCCAAACAAGTATTGATCTAGCTGCCTGACCATCTGTAAAAAATCTGATCTACTTCTGTATAGAAAAGTGTTTGATAACCTGGGGAAAACTGACTTGAATTT